CCTTCCCTCCAGCCCCCCTCCTCTAACAATGTGTGAAAAGGATGTGTGTGGCCTCTTTGAAAAACAAAGGATCAGAAAGACACCAGGCCCAGATGGTGTGACCCCCTCCTGCCTGAAAGTGTGTGCTGATCAGCTGGCCCCCATCTTCACACTCATCTTCAACAGGTCATTGGAGCTGTGTAAAGTCCCCTTCTGCTTCAAAAGCTCCACCATCCTCCCAGTCCCCAAGAAAATCTCCATCAGTGGACTGAGTGACTACAGACCTGTCAAATTCACATGTGACATGTCACTGTGTACATAATCTTTTGCTTTCAGAAATATGAGTAGCCTAATGTGCCTCCAATATAGTAAATTCTAGGCTACTGTATTGTTAACATAAACAAAATGTGCACAGCCTTTTCCGTTAAACTGTCTCTTATGCATCTGTGAGAAAGACAGTTTCTGTAATTGTACAGATAGTCTTTTTAATATTTGCAACCCAGCATGGTCATGGGCAGCAAAGAGGAGCTACTCTGAAAAGCTGAAAGCTCAGGATTTAGCCAACGACCCCTCGTCTGTGTGGGGGGAGCCTGAAAACCATCACTAGCTATAGGAAACCTGCTAGTTGACGGTCTCCCACTGCTGTGGAGGACCGTCAACTAGCAGACGAGTTGCATGTGTTCTACTGCAGGTTTGACAAACAACACTCCCGACAATCGCCATCCTTCCCTCCAGCCCCCCACCTCTAACGATCTGTGAAAAGGATGTGTGTGGCCTCTTTAATAAACAATGGATCAGAAAGGCACCAGGCCCAGATGGTGTGACCCCCTCTTGCCTGAAAGTGTGTGCTGATCAGCTGGCCCCCATCTTCACGCTTATCTTCAACAGGTCATTGGAGCTGTGCGAAGTCCCCTCCTGCTTCAAACGCTCACCATCATCCCAGTCCCCAAGAAAACCTCCATCAGTGGACTGAACGACTACAGACCTGTCACCCTGACATCTGTAGTTATGAAGTCCTTTGAAAGACTGGTGTTGGCCCACCTGAAGGACACCGTGGACCCCCTGCAGTTCGCCTACTGGGCTAACAGGTCAGTGGAAGATGCAGTTAACATGGCACTGCATTACATCCTGCAAAACCTCGACTTCCCAGGGACCTTATACATGGGCCCTCTAAGCAGCGGGTGAGGCTGGGGAAAACCACATCCAGCACCCGGACAATAAGCACAGGTGCTCCCCAGGGGTGTGTGCTCTCGCCTTTGTTGATTTCAGTGTATACCAACGACTGCATCTCGAAGGACCCCTCCATCAAGCTCCTAAAGTTTGCAGATGACACAATGGTCATTGGTCTCATCCGAGATAGTGACGAGAGGTTGAGCAGCTGGTCCTATGCTCAAAACAGTGGAGATGACAGTGGACTTCAGTAAGAAGGCGGCACTGTTAGATATTAGTGAATCCGTTATATGATTGATAGACATTAATATGTTAGTAATGCAATTTAGTAAGATTTAAAGTCTGCTCTAGTCTGTTTTGTTTCAAGGTTAGCAGACAGAATGTTGACTCTGAAAAGTGCACCATGACACTAATTCCTTTCCTGTATTAATCTTGTGTTAGAATATTATGTCTGAATAAATGAATGAATGTCTTAGCTACACACCATGTGACAACATACACACACATTGAGATTCTTCATTTTGTTTTGACTAGGTAGAAACACAGCTGCTCCAAGCCTGTGGAGTACTAGATAAGAGATGCAGAGTTTGGACTGACTTCATTTGGGTAAGGGGTTAGCCCAAAGTTTATAAATGTATTAGGCTCTGTTTGGCCAGGGACTCCTCTTTCCAGCAGCCTGTGTGTGTGTGTCTCTGGAAGGGGGAGCAACCCGGGTCGTGTTTCTAATTTTTACTTGTGGTTAAAATAAATCGGCACTAAATGAAAAAAGACGGACTCCTTTATTATTCAGAGTTGTCCAATTAAAGAACTGGGGTATTACAGCACAGCAGAGGATGTACTTCCTGAGCTGGCACAGAATCATCATGTCTGTTCTCTGCACCTCCATCACTGTCTGATTTGACTCAGCAACCAAGTACAAACTTCAGCGGACAGTCAGGACTGCAGAAAAGGTCACTGGTGCGAGCCTGCCCTCCATGGAGGACCTGTACACCTCACGGGTCAAAAGGAGGGGGAAGAGGATCACTGCAGACCCCTCACACCCAGGACATAATCTGTTCGAACTCCTCCCCTCTGGACAGCGTTACAGGTCACTGTGCACCAAGACAACCAGGCACAGGGAGAGTTTCTTCCCCGGGCTGTCATGCTGATGTACATTGACCCACGACAGTATGACTGGACAATAACCCTCAGAGCAATACCTGTAAATATACATTGTACAGATTATACAGACCCGTACAGGTTTTAAGTACTCTATTTTTATTCCTATTTCTCATTTCACAATGAGCATTCCTTTGTCTGTCTGCATTGTTTACTGCCTGTTTATACTGCTTATTTTGCATTGTTTGAATTGCCGTCCCTGGTAGGCTAGTGGCAAAGGCGCAGCGCTCATGCCGCTGCGGGCTTGGTTTGAGTCAGGGTTATGCCAGGAAGGGCATCCGGCGTAAAACAGGTGCCAAATGTCAACATGCGAGTCATCAGTGTAACGATTTGCTGTGGTGACCCCTAAAAAACGAGAAAAGCCAAAGTGACTCTTTATTTTGCGCTGTTTGTTGCTGTTAATACTGCTTATTTTGTTATACTAGCCTTATGTTGGTTTACTGTTTACTTGCCCCTTGCATGGGGATATGTACATGCACACTGAGAGCCAATGTACCAGAGTCAAATTCCTCGTGTCTGACACACCTGGCCAATAAAGCAGATTCTGATTCACTTTCTCCCATAGTGTTCAGCAGAAATATAGCTAATAAGACTTGCTTCTGCCCTTGACTTTTAGTTAAATGTATACTAACAATTAAATGTATGCTAACAATTATTTTCATTCGATTAATTACAAAAAAAGCCCATCACACAATCCTAGAACACAACATTATGCCAAATATTTGGCATTTCAGTGTTTCCTCTACCATTCATTTAGTGCCCCCCCCAAAATGAAAGGCACAAAGCAGGCACATCTTATAAGCACTTCACTGTCCTGCACTGTAACTGCTATTCTCTCATGTCCCTACCAAGGGCATGGCTTAGCAATGCTTACAGCTAAGACAAGGATCAAATCTAATCGTCAGTAACCTGAGCTGGAGACATTCGTTCAGTGCAACATCAAAGTCATTAATTCAAAGCCAACATGGATGAGCATTGAGTCTAGAAGGAAAACCAGGCCAGAGTTTCAGCTTTTTCAAATGCACATCAACTTTCAATGCAATCACTGAACCTACCACTACCAAACCCAAGACTGGAAGCTGTGGCCGGGATGCTTCTAGCTCCTCCGCTGTGGAGGGGAGGGAAGCTAGCCATACGCTGTCACAGTTTCACATACCAGCAATCACAAGAAGATGGGCTACAAAGACAGACAAACGTAAACCCTAGTAATGTTACATTTGCGAATGGTTCTGATTCTATTCAGTGCCTCATTGGTAAGAATGAAGGTATCAGAGTCCAACTAGGGAGCCATTTATTTTATCTTTTTGCCCAAATTTCTGTTCTAAATTTACTTCACTAGGAGAGAAAAAGAGCAGTGATGGTCAAACGAGCTAGAGAGTGAATGAAGAGTTAGCCATGCTAGCAAAGCAATCAGAAAATTAGGTATTTTCTGATTGTTTCATGGCAGTTACTTTCTAAAGCACAAACACAGCCACACCTCTGCAGAGCCCTACAGGAAGGACTTTGGGTGGCCTCTCTGTCCTGTACCTTGTTTTTGTGGGCCACACCCTCGGTCAAACAGACACACACATAGAACTGTGTCTTTAATAAAACACAATAGACACATAGAACATGTACATTAATAGATTACACATGATAAAAAAGGGGGAGGAAAAAGGAACAACGAGCCATTATTTTGAAAGGCTCTATGAAAGGAGAGGAGCCATAAGATCCAGCTCCTTTCACCACCAACCCCGCCAGTAGGTCGCCCTCTCTGACCAATTAACCTAGGGGAAACATTTCATTTTTTCTTAAGAAATTACTTAAGCTATTATTTGATTATAAAATTTGTGGTAGAAAAATCTTTCAAACAAACAACTAATTAACTGCCTAACAGTTGCTGCTCTAATTTATTCTAAATCAATTTTAAAAAAGGTTAGACAAAAATAAATACAGTATTTAACAAAAACAAGCTTCCTGTCTCACCCTATTGCCTTCAAAACATCAATAATACATAAAACAAAGCTACATTATAACACAGCCCCACAGCAGACTCATTTAAATATTAGCTGAAAATATTACAATACTGCTACACCAAATGCAGTTTTATGACTCAAAAGAGCTGAGCTATGAGCAACAGTGACCAAGACATATCTTGCCATGTAAACCAGTTTTTACTGAAGAAGAGCACTGCTAAAAAGACATTCCACCACCTATGACAAAAACACTGTACTTTCTATAGCGAATCCACAGCTCCTACTGGTTTGGAGGTAAAAAGCCTAAATGTGGAGCAAAATTAGCAGATGAAATGTTTGTTTGCATCAACACACAACAAGTTAAATAAGGCTGACAATTTAAAGGATGAGCAGGCATGTGGGCATGAATCTAAAACTGAAACCATAGATTCTTTTAGATGCTACAAAAATATTGAGAGCTGGACACAGGCTTAAAGGCACATGTCCAGACATTGGTATGGGACAAGATGGCACGGTTTGAGGGAGAAGACTATCACTGGCTGGCTGTGGCTACCATGGTCATCCCCACTGCAAGGACACAGCAAAAACACATCTATTCCTAGCTTGGTACGGCACAGTTTAAGGAGGCTAAATCAGGCCACTGGAAAAACACTAATAACTTTTTTCAGCTTTGAGGCTGCACAGAGATGGTAGCTTAAAGTGTAGCTGCATATTGTTTAAGCACAAACAAAATAACTCGAGAACTGAGAAGAACTACTGCTTGCTGTCAGTGTGTCTTGGTGTTTGCAGCAGATCACTAACCCTGTTCTCATCGTAAATGATCTGGACTATGCTGCGGTGCTTGTGCTCCACAGGGGGTGGGGTCACTGGCTTTTCTGGCTCCACTGGCTTTGCTGCTTCCTCCTCCAGTTGTTGCTAAGAGACAACACCAACAACATTTTGATCAATAGCATATTATAAAAGACACACAAAACACACACAGGAAAAATATAGGGACCCTTCTTTCTTCTTTAAATGACCCAGTTAGTCATTTGAATATGGTTTTTTTTTTTTTTTATATCTATATTTTCTTTCATACAGAACAGATGATGGAAACCATAGGGTAGACACACACCAAGCCAATGTGAAAGAACGTAGACCAATTGCTGCATAGCCTAACGTTGGCTTGCCTGGGCCATTTGGGTTGGAAAAAGTGAACTTGAACACACCGCACAGACTACAGCCAACGGCTGACAAGCAAGTCTTCTGCGCCGGTGTGAGGCAAATGACTCCCCCCTACCAGCAGGTGGCAGTATCGGTATTCACCATTCATTAAAGGGAAAGAAGAGCTAGACAGTGGAAATGCATGTGTAAACAAATCCCCTCTCATTAAAAACAGCTGCTGTTTAGAGCTGCTTCTAATCAAGAATGTGTGTGATGACCAGGCCCAAATGGAATCTGTGCCCACAGAATTCTGACAACACCTCCACAGATTTTCTACAAATTTTGAAAAGAAAGTAAAAACTCAGAATGTAACCATGTGTTTGCCCCCTCCTGCATGTGCGCAACAATTGTGTGATGTTGTGAATTTTTTTGTCATTTTCCAAGCCAAGGATCCAACATTCACATGTACTTCACAGTTTGACTGGCTGGCTGCCAATCACTGTCTAGCGTTTCTTTTCCATTAAGTACACAACAATTTTTGACACTTCTCATGTCAACCTTCTAGAGCTGTTCCCTTCAGTAGGCTATGTGAAAAACCCAGGTTCATGTCTATTAAAGACATTAATGTCTCCTGCTGAGATTGCACACCATTATCCCAACTCCCCCGACCCCGTCCTTTTTTTAGCCTGCGTCTAAAGATGTTGAACTTTGTATTTCAGTGGTCATGTGTCCTTATATTTTATGCTGGTGGAATTTCCAACAAATGTTGATGAAATAAAAAAATGTCTCAAATTTAAAAGTTCATATAAAGTGTTTTCTTTCAACCTGTTCAAGATTATTTCAGGTTGCTTTAATCTACTTTTGTTCTTACTTTTGCTCAAAAAATAATTGTTAGCTAAATGAATATTTATATTACAAGCGCAAAAAAAACAAAACAAACAAACAAACACAACACTCTACAGATTTCCAATCCTGAATAACTGCAGAAAACTGAAAAAAAAACTGTAGATTCCTTTGGGTCCTTTGAGCCTGGTGATAAGAAAATGCAAGTGACACCTCCATTCTTTGCCCTCGGTCTTTTGGTTGTGAAAGAAGAAAGGAAATTGTGGAGGCAAAAAACAAGGAGAAACTGCACTAAACGTGCGAAATCACAGACGCTACAGCGTCAGGCTGAAGGGGCTTTCCCCAGACCATTCTCTTCTCATGCATCGATTCGCTAAGATCAGCAGCCAATCAGAGTTGTCTCAACCACCAACAATGATTCAACATGTGAAATCAGCCGGAAAGCCGCCAAGAGGGTTGGACTAATGCCAATGGTGTAGGACACACTGGTAATATGAGCCCCAATAGACGCTCGCCAATGGCCCCTGATGGTAGTCGAAAGTTGGCCGTATGTCTCACATCTCCAAGATCTGATATCTGAAGCCCATCCAGGTGTTATCAGATTAATCTGTATGGGCTTGATCAAGTACAACATTTTTTTAACAGGACTGTAGGTTTCTGCCACTGATGCTTGCAGACAGTGTGTTTTGTAGGTTAGTGTTTACAAGTTAAAGGTTATGTAAATTGCCAGGTTACAGGGATTAGATGAGTTCCTGAAATACCCCAAACAAATAAACCCCTGATAATCTAGGAAAATTTTGACTGAAATATTGAGAGGTAATCTCTCCCAGCAAAGCTCATCTTACATTCCTGTCTAATAAATTGGAATTACAAAAAAAGATAGCAGGAAGAGGCCAGCCACAAACTAAATTAAAAACAAGACAATCCGGATAAAAAGATGGCCTTAAAAATTAGCCTGGAGTTCTAGAAATAAAATTTTTTGAGTACACCTTACTGGGATAAAATGCGATGCACTTTGAATGGCCTATGTACAAGCACAGGCTTGTTAAGCCATGAATCTGTAAAAGCATTTTAAGGCCTAAGTAAACTGCAGAAAGAGTGAAAGTTTCTCATAGAGGGAAAGTCCAAACACTGCTGGATAATTGTTCAAGGTGGTGGTTCTAAAGATGAAATGGAAATTAGTATTACCTCAACTTTCAGGGGCAGCCACTGTCAAAGCAGATCTTTCAACAATTCAATCTAACACTAAACATATATCAACTCAAAGATTCTTACAGCCTCTACTATTTAAGTAATAAAATAAATATGGTTCCCCTTACTGATGTTCTAACATTATTGTCACCCCAGTGTCGCCTGGGTCATCGCTTAATTTAAAAAGTATATGAAATATATAACTGGAAAAAAACGTAGAAAAAAAAATCATCTGGCTGACCGGTGGTGAGCAGGAGATATTTATCCCCCTGGGTGGCGTTTCAGTCCTTTGACAGCCAACAATGTCCCCTAATGAATGAATAGTTATAGCCTGGTATCAGTGAGCGTCATTACCTGTCTTTGAACCCTCACTGGAACCGTAACATATCAGTCAGTATGGGACATTGTTGGCCGTCAAAGGACTGAAACACCACCCAGGGGGATAAATACCTTCTGCTCACCACCAGTCGGACAGAACTAATGAAGCCTCTTGGATGAGAGGTCTTCTACCTAAAACCAAGTCCAGATGATTTTTTTTCTACATTTTTTCAGCTTACTATGACCTGGACAACTAAGAATTTGCACAATATGAAATGTTTACTTGTGGCAAGGTTTCTTGCACAACACCCGCTGTGTCTGAACCGTGTTCAGAGACAAAAACATATCAATAGGTAACGAACCTGCTTTTTCTTCAGCTTGAAAATCTGTTGCTCCACTTTAGCAATCTCTCTGTCCACACGGTCCATACTCTGGATCAGCTCCTCCTTGGACAGTTTAGAGGGAGAAGTGTCCTGCTCTTCCCCCATATTTAGTGTAGGTCCTCCTGGGGATGGGGACTCCATTTTGACAGTGAACTGAGACTCCTGGCAAAAAGGGTTATTGAGCATGTGAAAAACTACCACACAAAATCTGTACAAAACTGAACGATCACTTCCAAGAATCACAGTCATATTCTGCAAACTACAAAAGCAGCCACTGAGAGGTGGCACTGTATTTCAAATAGTACATAAAATCACATATTGAGAATATAAATCTCAGATACCCCTTTTCAACCAATGCAAACTAAGTGCTAGTTCTGGACTGGTGCTAGTAAAGAGTTGGTTTAACTTCTAATAAAAGGGCTTGTTTCTCCACAGGCTAGAAGAGCCACGTCATTATGTGTTTGTACACATCTCCACTTTTCTGGCAACTCTAGCACAACAACGGACTACAGCAAAAACAAGAGAACACTGCTTTCAAACAAATTTCTCTACTACACTTTATACAATGTTAGCCTTTTGTGAAACCAAATGTTTAGTGACATGGATAGGTGGCTCAGTAGCAAAGTTAGCCTATAGCATGCTAATGTTAGCTACTGTTACCAAGGCTACAGCACCTAGCTAGCTATCTAACTGCTGCTCAGAAACATTACCCAAACAAGCATAGCTACTAAGTTCAATTTTGAATGTTACGTTCAAAACATTAATGGCAAATGTTAGTTTGCCAATACTGATGTGAGAAATTAGTAGCTTGCTAAACAGCTGGTCACAATAGTTCCGCTTCCAGCTCCTGACATAAGCAGTTCTTGGTTCTACACCAACAGACAAAACTACAACTGAGACCAACTGTGAATTCTTGATTTGCAAAAGTGGGTCAAAAGGAACAAGGCCCACCTTTTTGACCTCTACAGTGGCTCTTAAGTTGTCCTGTACTGTATGGGGCATGGGCAAGACAATACCCCCAGCAGTGGGAGGGGTGCGGGTGATGTGGGCCTCGGCAACAGTCTCCATGCGAGGACGTTTAGCCTCCAAGGCTTCATGCTCAGGCTGGGATGTGATGGTGTGAAACTGCTGTTCATAACCATGCCGTCTCTCTGGAGGCCTGAAGAACAGAAGCAAAGAGATTTACAGATGTATCAGAAGTTACAACTTTTTCCTAGATGTATGACCCCCAGACAGCAATCTGAGAAAGGGTAAACTACTTTCAATATAAACTTAACATTGATAAAGAATTGAAAAAAAAAAATCCTAATTAAGATGACATGTATGAGGATGTCAGATATTTAGGCAGATATCTGAAGCCAAGCCCTTACCTTTCAGTTCCGGGGTGGAATTCAGACAATAAAGATGGTCTTCTCCGACCCTGGGGATCCTGCATGTGAGTCCGATAGTCTGCGACGGTGTAATCCTAAAGGCAAGTGTGATACCACGCGCACACACACACACACACAAAAAAAAAACTTTGTAAAGCCATCTGATCAAGGTCACAACAGTAGAGAATATGGGCGATCTGGGTGTAAAGCAGTGGACAGGTCTGCTGGTCAGAAGAGATAAAGATCTGAGATGCACCGATCAATCGAGATGAGAAATAGTCAGTTTTCAACATGATCGGCCTTGACCGGTGACCAGCCGGTCACTCTGAGATTTCTTATCCTGTGACAGTTACATTTAGTAGCACAACATTACACATCACACATGCAGTGGCACAGGCCAAAAGCTTAGCATGTACAGCGCATAACATCTTGTGTGAACCTTGAGCGAGGCTCACATTCGTGTTTGTACCAGGCGGGTGTTCACTTGTGCACTGGAAGCACTTGGTGTACAATACGTGCACAGAGGAAACTACAGAAACACCTTGGAGAAGGAAAACTATGTCCAAATCTGTGACAAATAGGGAATTACTGGCTACGCATGTATACATACAGTGCATCCGAGCTTTGGTAAAACACAGCAAATACAAACTATTCACACTTCAAAAAGAACTGTGCTCAGTAGGACTGATGTAATAGACATTCTGCTGTTTCTATTACCTGTTGCACCCATTTATATTTGGAGAAGTACAAATACTTTTTAGTTGGAGGTTTGTATAAAAAAAAAACATTAAATCTAAAACTTTGCACAAAAGTTTTATTATAATTTACATCTTCATTTAAAAAAAACCTGCAAAAATGTCTGTGTATACTGTCAACTACAGTTCCTAGAAAGAAAATCAGAAAGAAACAAAAAAAAAATGCAAATCGGCGCATCTCTATAAAAAATAAAAACATCATGATCATCATGAACATCATATACTTGTTCTTGTAAGCTACAAGTATAATGGAACACTTCACAGATGAAGCAACCAAATCATGCTCACAGAGTAAAATCCTGTCTGCACCAGGCAGGCAAGCTTGAGCCACGTTTTTCACTTGGGTCTCATCAATGTGTTGCAATGAATGCACATCATTTTAATCAATACATCTCTACAGTGGCTGCTTTAGTCACACTATACACATATCAGTGACACAAAGCATTTCCTTTGGCTTCAAAGTCCTTTTTCTCCCATCTTGTGTGTTGGGCTGTGAGTGCTGTTTAAAGTTTAAGACACTGATTGTAATTACAGCAGCCCCACTTAGAGTCTGGCCAGGGACCTTTATCATGCATCTCCCCACACCCTGCCCTCACCCACATCACTTCCTCTAAAATCTCTGCTGTCATCTATCTGATCAAGGCAAAACTCCATAATGAACTCAATCAGCATTTTTACAAAACAACAGCTGCATTTCTGAGTACAAGACCTCGACACAATGTCAGCATTTGGAGGTCTAATTGCTAACAATTAAAAATTAATCAGCTATGCCTCAAATAAAAAAGGTTCACACATTTATCATAAAGTACTGAAGAAAATGTAGCTTAGGATAAGAAAAGAATATGACCATATAATGACTAAGCTCACCAGAAAGATGAAAGGAAAAAAAAAACATATGCAACACTGTGGAACAATAACTGGCCTGTAAGAGGGGCACAGCTTCACCCCTCCTTCAAACATCTCATCAGTCACTGCACAACAAAATTACTAAAACCAGGCTAACCAGTAGTTTGCCAGACTCTGGTCTGGCAAACAGACTCCTGTCTGGCAAACTACAATACATGTTATTGATAGTCAGAAAATTGAATTAGGGGCTTTTAGCTAAATATCACATAAATGTTATCAGTGAGCTGTGACCTCTAGACAAACCTGAACCAGAAAAATCAGTTACAGGAAATATTTCCAAACACGAGTTTTGTCCCACACTTGAGCAAACAATCCAAATGCCCAGAAATTTTCCACTGACAGTTTTCTGTGAATTTAAGCTTCTAAGAATTATGTTCACCACAATGGCTAACAAACACTGTTCACAACAGTCAAGTGAACATGCAAGTATTCAGCTGCATAATTATTACTGAAATAAATATCACTAGAATGCTTGTTCAGTACTGAGAATATAAATGTGCCAGTATGCATACTGAGTACTTTTACTTTTGGTACTTTAAGTTATATATTGATGCAAATACTTTTGTGCTTTTACTTAAATAATATTTTGAATGCAGGACTTCTACTAAGACTTTTTTTACACTGTTATTCTTAATTTACTTCAGTAAACAATCTGAGTACTTTTCTACCACTGGTTTTTGGTAGCTGTATGTGTTGTTGTAAAGGGGAGGGGAGGAACAAAGCAGAACACTCAGCTGTGGTGTTGTTAATGCTACGTCTGCAGCTGTGGAGAACAACATCTGTGCTGCAGCGTTATTACCAGAAAGAGCCAGTGTGATCCAAAATGGGTACAGGTCTGTAGAAAATTGTTCTGAATCGAATCATGACACCAAGAATAGGAATCAAATCGAATCTTGAGTTTGCCAGAGATTCCCACCCCTATATTTAGTAGTTTCCTGTACAGTACCATTAATGGTTTAACTAACAGCTAAACGGTCTTGACTCTTTATATTCTTATATGCACTCAAAAGCAGAAAACCTCAAGGCCATATTGTAATTGCCACTGTTTTTCATGTAACACACTTTGTGACATTAAGAAGAGTCCTATATAAATGAAATTCTCTTAATATTATCACTGCTTAGAGAAGCATATTTCCATACAGACTTCCAAAGGGGTAAAGGTGAAGTACAAGCAAATATCGAGAGTGCGGACTCATGACAAACATGACTGTTAACTACAATACAACAATGTAGAAGAAACTTTTTACCTGTTGGTGGCGTGTGCCTGTGAAGGTGTACTGGACAGAATGTGGTGGGTATCGGCTCTGCTCGCTGCTGAAGCTCCCCTGGCTGGGGGGGTAGCCTGAGCTACTAGACATCCTGGCTCAGTGCTAGCGGGCAGCTGCTGCTTCACAGATCAGAGACTTTAGTTAGACCATCTTTGGGGACACAAACCACCTGCACCGAAACAGAGACACCACATTTTAGATATTACAATGAACATACTGTAAAGAATAACAAAAGTAGAGAATCGGCCAACTAAAATGAAATTACACAAGACTGACAATACTGGATGGTACTGTCAAATAAATAGCATTCTGACAGACATGCTGCTGCAGAATCAGACAGAAAGTGTAGGTGAGCGGTCATGTGTGATCTACTGAACATAAAATGTGTAACAGGTTCCACTATGCAACATGGAGTACCAGAAATCATGCATATGGTAGCATACTGTTAAATCACTCATGTTATTTGACCACCCTTGATCACTTTTCTGAAATATTTCTGTTTCCATACAGGTGAGTATTGGCCTAAAGCACTGTCCAGCTTCTGCTGCCAGTGTAGGAAATAAAGTCAGAATCAAATCCAAAATAACTTCTTACTTTACCTTGCAGGAGTGTTAAGTCAACAGAGAAAATCAAAAGTGCAAGGATGATCTTGGAACAAATGCTACATTAAAAAAAAAAACCACTGGGCGTTACTATGCAGCTGCAGCTCTAGAAAACACCACAGCAGTCTTCCTGTGGGTGGAAAACAGGGACCTGTTCTTTCAACTGAGATAAACGAGTTAACTTGATTTGACTATTGACGGTTTGTTATTAGTTTGCATTTGTTTGCTTTTCACAATGGTTGAATTATCAGAGTCAAAACCTTTTAAATTCCTGCTAACTATTTAAATCTTCATATACCTGTGTTAATTACAAATGCTCAAATTTTATTCCAAATTTGATTACATTTCAATCATGAAACATTATATGAGAAATATTTAAATCTGACATACCACTGTTATCATCATTATTTCATCACCCAAATTCATCTCTTCTGCTGCAGCAATCTGCTGTTTATTAGAGGAATCAGTAGGATGTGTCGTGTCATTTCATGGTTAGACTATTTTTAGATAAGGCGTCATCCTTAACCTTAGATGTCATGCCAGCCACACACGAGCAGTGATCAGCTTTCCATTCACATTGCTATTAATTCAAAACAATGCCATCCATTGTTACGTGATATAATTTTCTCAAAGATTAACAAATGGATCCTACTCCCTGACATTTAAAGACATATGTTAAATGCATGAAAATTGGCAAGTTTACCTGCTTATCGTGTTGGTCTGGCTCAGTGAAACAATGTTCAGAAAGGAGAACTCAGGACACAGCCAGAAAGCACTGTGACACTTTTTGATTGATCTCTCCTCTCTAAATGCAGACAATATACTGTACATGCCAAGTATCTATGCAAGGTATACTATGCAATTTTACAAAGCACAGATTTTGTATTTGGTTGGATTATGGGTAGATGGACCAAAAACATGTAACCAAACAGGAAAGGTTTCTGCAAGTTGGTTTAGAACAAATACATTACAGCATTTTTGTTTGTTTGTTTGTTTGCTGTTTTGTTTTTTGGCTCTTTCTGTCATTGTTCGCAGGATCCGTCATAATTGTGTTCAGCTGGCTTGAACATTTTTAATCTAAGCCTGGAAGATATACAGCCTGACCACCATGCCAAGACTAACTTTAGGGTTGGAAAATCACCAACAGCTGCCACCATAACCAGGATGGAAAGCTCTTATCTTATTTTTTATCGGCAGGCCACAGTGTTCGGTGGGTCACCACTTTCACAGTATCAGAAATACTAAAAATATAATTAGTGTCTTGACAGAGTGACTTGTAACTAACCACCTCTGGTCATTGGTAGGTGGAGAGCTGTTTTTATATTTATCATTTTCCATTTCAAATTATATAACTTTGTAAACCAAAATGCAGCAACAAATGTAATGTCTCATGTCTCTCCACGGAGCCAAATCCAGGTGATGAATCTGGTTCTGCTACTGCTAAAATGAGGCCTATAGTCTCATTTTAATCAATAGTTTTTGGCTTTGTACTTGATTAATTTGTCTGGCTGAGTTTAGTTGAGTTTATAAACAAAAAGAAAAACTCAATCTACTAATGGATAGATAATAATATAATAAAATACATTTCATGCTGATGCTGCTAGGAAAGGTTTTCATCTTTCAACTGAGGTCTTGTTGTTTTGCAAATACCCTCTGTACTCCCAACCCAAGGAAAAAAGAACAGCGACCTCCTGGGTTCAAGCCTGTTTCACAGTATCCTCAGTATTTAGCAAACCATTATTAATGCCCCTGTACAGTTTTCATTAGTCAAAGCAACTGAGTCTACAGGATATTAATATGCTTACCATTGTGAATAAGCTATTACAGCCCATGTTGGTGACCTGACTACCCATAACCTGTTTCTCGGTTTTTATTCCTGTTTATGTAATAACTTTCAAATAAGTCCATGATGGGAATCATTTCTAGTCTACAAGCTGTATCCCTCTCGTCCCTTTTAACAGGGATCATGAAAGCACCTATAAGATACTATGCTCCTGGATGTTCCCCTACAGCTATCATTTTCAGTTTTTAAAATCAGTCCTCTCAGTTGGTTTAAGGCATTTTCAGAACTGAAGCATGTAGTTTGTTTTTATAGTAAGTTCACTGCTTTTGTCAGCTTTTAACGTTTCATGGCGAAGGTCAATCAGTTTAATTTTGGAAAGCATCTAACTGTTACATTAATGTGTGATTTTCATACAACTCCAGCAGGAAAGGTAAACTTTCTACGGCCCATACGGAATATAGAGGTGAGAAATATTGCTGCTATACGTTGTTGCTGCTGTTGTCTTTTAACATCATAATGTCATAAAAACGCAATTTGATTTGCATCTTACCTTGGGGGATGGGTCTATTTCCACAACAGAGCACTTTTCCGGAAATGCACCAAAACATGCACAATAAAATCAGATTCAAAGGTTTATGCTATGTTACCACTCCAATGTAGCAATACGACGTTTAAGATATTGTTGGTGTTGGTAGCTAGCCAACTTAGCCTATAATTCACCTTTGAATTCACAACCACGTCGCCATCTTGCAAAGCAGGTTTTCATCGTAGACCGGGGCGCTTAAATAACGTGCTAATAAGACACGTTGCTTTGCTTTATATTAGCAGATTGTACTTACCTCATGTTTAGAAAATATACCAGTGGGGAAAAAAATACCCCTGGCAGAAATATATGTCAATTGATGCCTGTAAATCCGCGGGTTAAAGACTGTACACGACTTAGACTAAAGGCTGCGCCGCATTTGTCGGTCGATGTCCTGGCAGAGTTACATAAATTGTCCATACTCAGTTTAATCCATAGAGTACTGACATTCTTCGACAAATTTGTATATATATCTAAAGGCAATCTATGGATTTACAAAGTAAGCACGCTATTTTTTCACTATTTCGTTAAATAGTTAATTTTGTCAATTGAAAATGTTATGTATCTGTTAGGACAGTGCCGTGTGACGGCTAAATCTTCCCCCTCAAACACGGTAATGTTTCTTGTTTTTGGAAATTTCGCTTTTAAAAAATATAAATTTCGTTGTGCAATATAACATCATTCTACATTTCCCAGATCTGCTTTATTCACATACACCAGGAAGTATGCCTGTATCATATTCATTTCTTTGTTCCCCTAATGAGTTGATTTCAACTCAAATAAACTGAGAAAGCGACATTTACTCCAAGCGTGTAAGACAAACCATTACATGACTTTAAATGGGCAGCCATTGTTATTTTACGTTTATTTTTTAAATTGCTTATCATACTTAGCATCCCTTAAAGAATGGGTAACGTTAGATACGTATATCAGTACGTTTTGCATGAGGAACTACTTACACAGTAGACTATTGTCTTTACACGGATTGTTTATGGTAACGGTCAGGATAATGAGTATTTACTTGATTCTCTTCATAATTCTGTCCTATCTTGTCTGGATTAGATGTATATACTGTCAACACCGGCGAGCTTTTTTTAAGTCGCTGAAACATGTAATGAACGTTTTGTCAAGCAGGGACACAAACTGCTCGGAAATCAGTGCTTTGATTGTAACTGCTCACCCGGACGATGAATGTATGTTCTTCGCGCCAACGATTATACGACTCGTGGAGTTAAATGTCAGCGTTCATTTGCTGTGTTTAACTGAAGGTATGGTGATAGCACACTGTTATTTCCATACGCAGCGTTAAAGTATTCGTTATTAGCCACGTGTATTGCTGCTAGTTATCGTTAGCTGTAGTTGCGTGTTTTATTCGAGAGTCAACAGAAAATAGTAAAGCTTACGGAAAAGTGACTGCACGTCTCCACTTACTGTCACCTACTAAGTTAACAGAATGTCCATTCTTGGGTTTAAGGATTTAAGGATTACATTATGCTGATATTGTGTAGCTGCCATGTTTACTACTACTGCTGTTCATCATCTTAAAAAATAAAGGAGAATGTCCATTCTTGGGTTTAAGGATTACTGCAATGAATGACGCACCATTATGCTGATATTGTGTAGCTGCAATGTTTACTACTACTGCTGTTCATCAGCTTAAAAAATAAAGTTTTCTTAGGTGCTGTTATGTGCTACATAAAAACATAAGTAAAAATGTAACCATTATTAGAAAGTAAAAGCTTTCATTGCTTGTAGCATTAGTGAAAACTATTATGCTATTATCACGCCTATGTGACCGTAATTGGATTGCTAAAGAAAATATATTTCAAAATAATTGAGAATGTTTTACATTCCACCTAAATGTAATCTACTGAGAATTTAGTCTTGTTTTTAGATTTCCCCTTTTTTGGAAGATCTACAATATAGTTTAATTTGTTCTCCAAATATTCAACAGGAAACTACTACAAACAAGGAGCTCAGCGAAAACAAGAACTTCTCAAAAGCTGTGCCATGTTGGGGATCCCATCTTCCAGTATCACCATAGTAGACCATAAGTAAGATGTTTTGTGCACCAAACACAAAATACAAATTACAACATTTAACTTGAGTTTCTTTGATGTTGTAATGTTAGCTTGTAAAGATCTATGCTGTTGAATAATCAGTTTGTACATGCCCATTGGTGACTGAATATGATTTAAGACAGCCTATTTTAGCAAAAAACAAACAAACAAAAAAGTATCACTTTACTAATGTACTTGTTACGCTGCCTTCAGTGCAGGACTCCAGTCTGACTCCAGCATGTCTGCCTGCTGGAACTAATCAGTATCCTCCCTGCCACCCATTGTCTATCTGAATCAATAGAGATGGAGCCCCTAAAAGGTTCTCTCAATTGATCAAAAGCAGATATCTACATATATATTTGTATATGGTGCAGTGGTTAGCACTGTCCCCTGTGGACTTTGCATGCTCTCCTCATGCCTACTGCATAGGTTTTCTCTAGGTGGTCCCACTTCCTCCCACAATACAAAGACATGCAGGCTAGATTAACTGGCAACTCTAAACTGCTGATAGGTCTGAATGTGAGTATGAGTTGTCTCTATGTGTTAACCCTGTGACTGGTAACTTGTTCAGGATGTGTTCTGCCTCTCGCCCAGTGTCTGTGGGGATTGGCAACATAGATATTGGGCAAATGGATATTTGTATATACATCTTCAAAAATATAGCAAAGCAAGTTCTGAAATTAAACTATTTTATTTGGTGTTAAGTTAGTGAAACTGTAGTGTTTAATTGTGCTTGTAATGTTTGCCCTGTTGAGCTGTTTGTATGCTCTGAGCAATCTAATCAACCTGTTTGAGCAGTTGCGATGGATTAGTCAATGTCAGTGATCCCTAAGAGGAAATTAGAATGAATGTAAAGCTGGTTAACATTATTTTTGATCTCAGGTACAGGATCACCCCCCAGATATTTAGCATGCAACGGATCTGCAAACAGACAGTGACTGAATGAATTTACCAGATACATCAGATCTGGTTAAACCCAGTCAGCATTGAAAACAATACAGCAGCACATTATTTGATGTGATACCTCATCAATTTTATTGTTTGTTCAAAATAAACACTCACTTCATTTCTGATGCTCTAGCATGTTCCAAAAAAGTTGGGAAAGTAAAGCATTTACCATGGTGTGATGTTGCTGTTCCTTTTCACAACACATAAAAGATGTTTAGGGACTGAGAACGCCAAGTGATTAACAGACAAAACTGTGAGAAAAGGTAATGTAAAAAAAATGGGGTGGGGGTTTTCCTGTGGATCAACCCTTGAAAATGTTTTAAGTTTCTAAGAAGTCAGGGCTGCCTTCATGTGAGTATCTACATGTTGGCTCACCAGGAGAACTGTGTGAACTCTGACACTAGCCTGGAACCCACAGTAATAAGCCCTTCAGCAAGCCCAAATTTTTTACAGGTGACAGCTGTGGCTCAGGAGGTAGAACGGGTTGTCTCCTAACCAGATGATTAGTGGTTCGATTCCCGGCTTGCCCAGTCAACATGTCGAAGTGTCCTTGAGCAAGACACTGAACCCCCAGTTGCTCCTGGTGATAACACCAGTGTGAGCGTTTGGGAGTGTGAATGGCTAAGTAGTGTGAAAGCACTTTGAGTGTGCTGTAAAGCATAGAAAAGTGCTATACAAGTATAAGACCAAATTGTCTGCTCTAGAGAAAATTGTTGGTGTGTGTGTTTAAACGTGCAAGCACAGACTTCACAGTTTTATCATCTATATATCTGAACTGAATCTTAGAGCTGTCTGCACTTCCACGGAACTACAGTATAGCCCATTTTCCCTTTCTGTGTATATTGTTGTTTGCCCCATCTAATCAGTACTGTACGATTACTTGGCTCAATCACAGCCAAGCTCGCTCCCTCTGTTCCGCCCTTATATTGTATTAAGTACTAAGTGTTTGTTCTTCCTGAAGTCCACGGTCATCTCCACTGTTTTGAACGTGTTCAGCTCCAGGTTGTTCTGGCTACACCATAGGACCAGCTGCTCAACCTCCCATCTGTAGGCTGACTCGTTACCGTCTCGGATCATCAGCAAACTTTAGGAGCTTGACATAGGGGTCCTTCAAGATGCAGTCATTGGTATAGAGTGAAAACAGCAGAAGGGAGAGCACACATCCCTGGGGGGGCGCCCGTGTTTATTGTCCGGGTGCTGGATGTGGTTTTCCCCAGCTTCACCTGCTGCTTCCTGTCTGTCAGAAAGCTTGTAATCCACTGACAGGTGGGGGCAGACACAGTGAGCTGGGTCAGTTTGGAGTGGAGGATGTCCGGGATG